CAAGAACTAAGTACGGTTGTGATGTTGGGTAAGGTAGACTTTTTAGACGGAGAGAAAAGCCACAGATTGTTACACATCTATCTGTGCTGTTTAAACAAAAAATCTGGATGATCTTCGGCAAAGACGTTCAGGTTTCTTCAATATACACGCATTGATGTTTAATTCATTCATTTAGTACTTAGCTTCTTTTTCTTTTCCGGCTTTTCTGATGAAGTTATAGGATCGATTAGGATTGCCACTTTCATCTTTTTATTATTGTTTTTGTTGGAAATTAAAGGAAACTAAGTTTTTTTTTATATTTGCATCTAAGTTTTAAGGAAAAGGATAAAGTTGGGAAATAAGATTTGCTTACAAAATTTGGTTTTTATTGGCCTTTTCTAATATTTATAAAATGATTTTGTAGATTTTTTTTTGTTCATTTGCATATGAATTTTTAATCGGAAAATGGCCCAACTACATCTTAGGTACCGTTTTTTATTGTGATGAGAATCACAAAGAAACAGCAGAAAACTTCCATATTAGTGTCACATTCCTAGTAACTCGCATTTATAAAGAGGATACTTTACTGAAGCATTTAATCGACGCTCGGGACAGCCAGTTAAAATGCTGTTATGGTTACTAATAGTACTACAATCAATAGTTGGAAAATTGTATTTTTTTTTTTTTCAACATAAGATTTGTTGAAGAGATAGTGGAATTAGTATCAGTTATTAAAAAGTCACTTTTCGTTATCGTTCTATAGTGTCTGCCCTTTAAATAACAGCGTCTGCTGTTTTTTGAGGACGACTAACAGGTTTAAAATTTATTGTGGTTGTGTTTGTTGTATTCCTTCGTTCAACTGTGTCGACCGTATTAACAGTTATGGAGCGTTAAACGTTCCTAATTTATTGTGGTTGTAGGTTATAAGTAAGTAGTAAGACTACAGCAAAATCGGCGTCACATTGTTTGTTCGAGTTCTTCAAACTCCACTACCATGGAGGATGAGCTATACTGGAAACAAAATGACCCAAGTTGCTGGCGACAAAATGGGACAGGATATTGGAAGCAAAACCTTTATTTATTACAAGAAGGTGCTCCAAAACCGAGGGCAGTTAAATGTTTTCCACCTCCGGAAAATGTTCCACCACAGGTTCTGTATACATTTTATTACTGTTTTATATCTTTAGTTTAAAAAGTATCGAAGTTTTTAAACGGAATTTTTTGAACAATTTTCAGCTGCTGAAAAATTCTGATTATACTGGTTCTGCTTATCATTTACTTACACATTGTTTAAATGTTTTCACTTACCTGTAGGGTCCACTCTGGAATTGGAAAAAGTATTTTTTCATATGCTTAAGTTGTTGACTGAGTAGTTCATGTGTTATGCTTTTGTTGGTTTGTTTTTTAATTGCCTGTGCTAATTTTCAGTATGGATCAGAATTTCATGGCTTAATTGAGCGAGAATTCGCTGAACGCATGTTGTTGGAGGCCGGAGAAGGTGCCTTTCTTGTAAGAGCATCGAAACGGTCTCCGGACGCAGCTACACTTTGTATGGTTTTTGACAACCATGTGCTAAATTACAAGCTATATTATGATGGGTTTCATTATGTTGGAGAAAAAAGGTTTTTAGTTTTTTACCTCTTACTTTCAATTAAAGACTATGTTTCGAGTGTATGATTTGTATTTATCCCATCCTTATTTAGACGCTCTTCAGATATGAGTGTGGTTACTTCATAATTCACTGTTAATCCGACTTTTAGGTTTGAAACAATTGAAGACCTAGTGGCAGATGGACTAATAACTATGCATGTAGAGAAGAACGCGAATGATTATATACAACGAATGGCTGATGATGCAGTTTACGAACAAAGTCCATACTCACAGTACCAGAAGGCAACTAATACTCGCCGTTCTTCTGTATCCCGATGTCATAACTTCGTCTCTGCAACTTTTCGCATACCGCATTATTGCGACTACTGCAGAAATTTTATGTGGGGACTTGTTCAGCAGGTAATGTTATTCTCACTCTATTAGCTGTAAAATATCCTTATAGAAACAAGCATATTTTTCATCAGAAAAGTTGCACTGGGCTTTTTATCGGGATATAGGAAGGTGATTATAGGGCGTAAAATGTGAGGACTGTGGTTTTTGCGCCCACAAAAAATGCAGTGAACGGACCTTACATGATTGCCGTCCAGAGGCAAAATATGTCAAACGTATGTTTGCTGTGGATATAAGCACTCTTTGTATGGCTCACTCAGTATCTGTTCCCCCAGTCGTTACTTCTTGTATAGCTGAGGTCGAAAAACGAGGTTTAGACGTAGAAGGCATTTATCGTGTAGGTTTTCTTATTGAAATGTTTTAAAGCAAGTTAGTTGAGGAATAAAAAAGAAGTCAACTTTTTCCTGCTTGGTCAGCATTTTTTGTTTAGGTTTCTGGTTCGCATGAGCAAATGGAAAAGTTACGGAGACAGTTCGATACTTTGCACAAGGTAGACTTGACAGTCGTTGAGGATATTCATACAGTTGCTGGTTTACTGAAGCTTTATTTGCGCCTTTTACCTCAACAGTTAGTGCCTTTTTCTGTGTACAGATCTTTACTAACTGGATTTACAACTAGTCGAACGCCTCATGAACAGTCTAAGGCTTGCAGGTTAGCAGTTAAAGAAAATTTATGTTGAACTTGCGTGAAGAGGTCTTTTTCCTTCTACAACTTTTAGTCAAAGCTTCTTTTTTGCCTTTCTGTTTTACTCATTAAAGGACGGTTTTAATTAGCATTTTCACTGTTAGCAGTGAACCTGTCAGTTCGTGACAGGTTCTGAAAACGAAAAATTTGACAAGTTATTTGTTATAGTAAAGCACTACAAGACCTGAATGAAGCGAATGGCCGCACGTTATCAGTATTGCTGCTTCATATGCAGAAGGTGGCAAAGCATTCTGGTAAAAATAAAATGAGTGTTGAGAACCTGGCTACGATTTTTTCCCCTACTATATTTTGTTCTGGAAATACTCCTGCACTTCCGCAACAACAGCATCATCTGTTAAATTTTCTCATTCAACATTCTAATAACGTTCTTCTCCGTTTCAGTTAAGTTAGCTGGTGCTTGCAATTTCTTGTAAGTAAGAATTCCTTTTTAGGCCTGTTTTTGAGATGAATATTGCTTTGATATAATTCAGCATAATAAGTGTGAACGTGCATTTATTTTCCTACGTTGATGACGGCTGTTATCTTTATAATTCTTAAATATTTCAAAACGATTTGGTAATGACCTATGGTAAAGTGAAGTGCAATAAGTTTATTCGTTTGTACATAAGGTAGCTTGTTGTTGTTTTCTCACTTTTTATATTTAGGTGGAAATGCGTTTTTCTCCTTTTCCTGCCTCCTTTTTTGTTCATTTTTGATTTAGCTTCTTTTTTGGTCATATTAGTTGGGCTTATTATGTTCCTAAGCAGGAATTACGAAGCTAAAAGCTCTGCGCAAAAGACAGCTTCAGTAGCTACAGATGTTTCGTTTAAACCACCTCTTCGTGGTTTAAGGAGTACCTGCTATGTAATTTCTAGACTTTTGGAAAGCGCATTTCCTAGTGTATATAGAACAGGAGGTAGATAGGTTTCTTAAAGTTTTATTAATTTTCTGAAGTTTAAGACATACGGGGTACTTTAAGCAGTCTTCCGTTTTTTTTCTTTTTTTGTTTATAATTTTTAAGTTGTAATATGTCATTTGGCTTTACTTCTGCTGTCAGTGCTAAGATTTACCGAATTTGTCCGGATAGAATGTTTACTCTGTCAAGGATACACTTTCTGTTCTTGCCAAATTAGCAAGAGATTTTTCGTGCAATTAAATTATCAGGAAGACGTAATAAATAAGAAGAACAGCTGTCCTTTCTTCTTTTTCTTTTTTAAGTCTTTTGAAAGTTTTTGCTGCATCAAGCTTTCAAGCCCGGTTACCATTTTTGCGAACGTGTTCCCGACAACTATGTTTTTTTCTTACAGTTGAAACGACATCACTGACTGCTCTGAAACCCTGAACTTTACAGATTATCCAGACGCTTCTGGAAATAGTTTCAACCTCTTTTTACTTTCGTCTTCTACATCTTGCTTGAAGTGCATCTTTAAACAGATCTTTTTTTGCCAGAAACGGGTCATTTTTCACGAAGTATTTCGTGTTTGAATTTTCAAATTTTTTCTTTAATATGCTTAAAACTGCTTGATTGATAACTGTTGGAGTTTCTGTTGGACTGTTGGGGTCAAATAAATTATTAGCTCCTCAAGTCAGTTACTGCGCCTGATCGGCTTTGCTCACAGTTCTGCAGCTTTATTCCAAGTCCTCAACAACTAAAGCTTACAGCATTTGTAAGGGAAACGTATGACATTTTATTATATCATGTTCTTTTAACCTAACATATCTATAGTAAAATATTTGGTAAGAATCATGCTTCGGTCGCTCGTCACTGTCCTGGCTCCAGCTCATATTTTTATAGCTTTGTTTGGGCACTAACGAACGGAAGAAGATCCTTGAGGAAAATCACGAGATAAAAGGGTTCTTCAACTCACTTGCAACATTCACGAAAACACTTCTTAACTGCGAGAAAGCTTCAATTGCTGCCACACCATTTTCGCGACCAAATCCCGACTGTTTCATGCCACCAAATGGAACCATTGGATCTTAAAAAACTGGAACTGAATTACACCCAAGTTATTTGGGTTAAACGAGAAAAACTACTCGACATACGTATCCTTTTAATTGATCTTTAATAGGAAGTATAGGAGACTTTGAGGTTTTTGGAAGGGACTGGGGCTGTAGTGAATAAGAATTAAGTATGAACTTGTATCGTTGTAGGTATTCACGTAGACATTGCCAGACTGCAACTGCGAAGCTACTTGGTAGGCGACTGCAATATCCCTAAACACATAAATTTTGTTCTGCAATGTGCGAAAGACCAATTTGTAATAATGCTGGCTACTCTGACTCTGCTTGTTGAGATTTCTTTCTGTGAGTGGTTTCTCATTACTACTTTAGTTATTGGAGAACTGGTCCGGAGGATGACAAAACAGGAGCAAAGTAATTTGAAACCAATACTTGGTAAATATCCCATTTGCGAGCCCGTAAGGTGTGTCATTTGCCATGCAAACAGCTTCCTGAAACCACTCTGCGTGAACTTTTTGTTTAGATGTTCATCAATGAGTAATGGCGAACACTGCATTGAGTACACCCGACCTACCTCTAAAGTCGAAAATGGGATTAAAAGCATCACAGGCCCAAAAATTTCTTCTTTGTAAATACGCATATCTTTCTTTATGTTCTCAATGACAGTAGGGAGCATAAAAAAGCCACCTTCACAACCGGGAACTTCGAAAGTTGTTCCACCACATAATATAAGCGCGCCCTGGTCATAAAAAGCTGACATTTACATACAAACTAAGATTGCCGGTCAATGTGAAAAAATGTTATCATCTAAGCAACCAAAAAAACATTAAGAAGCTCTACCAAACTTCTTCAGAATGAGTTTTACCTCCTTTCTGGCTTCTTCGACAAATGCCAATACTTTAGCCCTATGTTCTAGACTTATCATTGCACCACAACGTGTACTCTCCTCCAGTGGGTCACCAACTACCATTTTTTTAGTAGCATCAACAACACCCTCACGAAACGCATCGTAAATTGACTTATGAATCAACACTTTTGACGCATTAGAGCAGACTTCTCCTTGACTAAATAATACATAGCTTAAAAACCAAGATTTCTGTGTCGTATTTTAAAGATGATCATAGCGTGATAAAAGCATTTTAGAGTTTTAAAATGCTTATTTACTGAGATATGACCCGTAAACCCTAAAATTTGTAAAAACTTTATAAAAACAATTTTTATAAGTAAACAAAACTGCTTAACAGTGTGAAAACATATCATTTAGAAAATTCAAGCGATATTTTTAAACTGCTAAAATCATACCAATAAAAATTTGCCATCATTGCTCCAGTAATTGCTGAATCTAAATCAGCATCACCACAAATAATAAGTGAACTTTTGCCTCCAAGTTCGAGGGTCACGGGTCTCAACATGCCTTCTACTGCAGCTTTAGAGTATACCTTTGCTCCAGTGGCTGTACTCCCAGTGAAGCTAATTTTATTTATTTCAGGGCTACTGCAAATACTGCTGCCTACAGCACCATCGCCCTGAACATTTAACTATTGAAAAGAAAACTTCTAACAACTGATTAAAAAAATACTATTTTTTCCGGCCATTCCCTCAAGATTTTCTGATCGTAATTTCAACCTGCAACACCGATAAAACGCCGCTTGGCAGTCCTGCATGGTGCAAAATCTCAGCAAGTGCAACTGCCGTAACCGGTGCTAATTCTGATGGTTTATATATGACTGCATTGCCGCACATCAGCGCAGGAGCTAATTTCCATGAAGCAGTTTGCATGGGGTAGTTCCACACACCAATAGCACAGACAATTCCCCAAGGAACTCTCTCAGTATAGGCATACTGGTCACTTGACAACACGAAGTGCGAACCTGATTAGAATGGCAAGTATCAGTCAGCGGAAGAGTACAAGAAAATTCCTTTATTTAACTGATGAAATGCTTTCAAATAGCGGGGTATGAAAGGAAAGAAAACAGTTATACTAACCAGCCAGATTATGTGGTACTCCAGAAAAAAATTCAAATGTTTCAGCGCAAACTTCCATGTCCATTCGTGACTCATACAGTGGTTTCCCACAGTCCAAGGTTTCCAAGTAAGCCAAATCATCAATGCACTCCTAAACTTTAACCTCTTTAGAAAACATAATCTACCAGATAAATTTGAAACGACAAATAAAATGAATGTATTCCCGGAAAGTATATGTAACTTCGAAGATACGAACGCGAATGACGGTTGCAGCCTTTCTGAGCACAGCTCCTCGTTGCTGCGGACTGATGTTCATCCACTGTTGTTGTGCTTCTCTTGCATGTTGAATTGCCGTAATTATTAGATTCTCATCAGCTACCGAACATTTTGTTAGAAGTTCACCTGTAATTGGAATTTTTTAAAGGTGAATATTACTAATGATTCATCACCCACATAATTCTCATTTCAGCTTTTAGTCACTACTATACGGAGAACGTGCTCAAAAGATAGAACTAATGCCTACTTTACAAAATTAAGAAAATCAGAAAAACAGAGGATTTTTAACTGTTCAAAAAAAAAAAAAAAAAA